TGGCAGGCACTGGTTGCTGACCTAAACCACGAGGCATACACTGGGAATTCGCGGGTCGGCTACTCAGCGACAAAAGCGTTTGTAGGGAGGAATCCATTACAATATTCCCCTCCGGGCGGTGTAGGAGACTTGTTGTCTGCAGTTGCATGGCACATGTGAGGCAGAACGGGCGGTGCATGCCACATGTGAGACATAACGGCGAGGGCGTGGATGAGCCGGCCGCTAGGGGAGACAACTGTCTAGACACACGAGATCTGTGGGAGAAGAGAGGGAGAAAAAGGGTGTGTGGGGGCGATGAATGTTGTGCTTCCCTCGTGGCAGGTACAGAGTCCTCAGATGCGCCTGCTGGGGTCGGTAGGACGTGGTGCTTGGGGCAGGAAGAGGAGCTGGTGTCTGCTTAAAGAAGCAGTGCTGCTCTAGGGTGTCTAACCTGCAGTGTAGAGACAGTAGCTGTAGAGCCGATGAGAGCTGCCTCTGTGTGGATAAGCCAGTCTTCCATGTTGCTTGAAGACTGGGAGAGTGATCGGTTTCTCCTCCATCCTGTGTGAGTGCGAATCTCCGGGGGTCACCATTTGTGGGGTACGTGATGTTTCTCCTCCATCCTGTGTGAGTGCGAATCTCCTGGGGTCACCATTTATGGGGTAATGGATATTTTTCTTCCATCCTGTGTGAGTGCGAATCTCCGGGGTCACCATTTGTGGGGTTTCGTGATATTTGGTTCACACTCAGGATGGGATGGAGAAAGGAAACTCACAATGTGCTCTCTGTATACATATTGTATTGGATGTACAGTGTACAGTACAGCTTGGTGCTGGGAAGTTGCAGCGTGGTTACAAGCGTGATGGAGAGAGAGCTGGTTGTTGAGGGTGCTCAGAGGAGGACCAGCTTGTGGTGCCATGGTCGCCGGCGGGAGCGAGGGCCACCAGGTAGGAGTGGAGGAGGAGGTGTTGCTTGAAGACTGGCTGTAGGTAGAAAGAGGTAGGTCACCACGAGGTGTGGGTCGCCATGGTCGCCGGCTGGAGCGAGGGCCACCAGGTAGGAGTGGAGGAGGAGGTGTTGCTTGAAGACTGGCTGTAGGTAGAAAGAGGTAGGTCACCACGAGGTGAGATCTTATACAGCGGAGGTAGGCGTGGCTTAATAGTTGACCTCAGTCGTGTAAGGCTGCGCTGGTTGCTGACCTAGACCACGAGGCATGCACTGGGGAATTCGCGGGGTCAGCTACTCAGCGACAAAAGCGTTTGTAGGGGTGGAATCCACTACAATGTTATAAGTTGATTTGGGATAGTGTCAAGTGTGTCATATTATCCACTTGCAGTAACAATGGAATAATATATTGAAGAATTGAAGAAGTAGTTTGTTACTTATAAAAGTAAGACCTGAGGTCCAGTGTTATCTGACAGTGTGTGATAATTTCTAAATCTTACTTGTCAAAGAAATAATACAACAGTTGTCTAATGAAGTAATGAGTAGTAGTTGTTGAATGGTATAATAAGTACTTGGAGTTGTTTCATGATATAATAAGTACTTGTGGATCTATTTTAGCGATAATACAGTAAGACTTGAGTGTCCAGTTTTGTCTGGGTGAATTGAGGTAACATCTTATTCACTCACTGTGTTAATAAATATTGAATTAGTAATCTACGAGTATCACCTCTCTACTCCTTCTAAACATTGGTTCCCAGAAAATACGACTAACTCACGTGCCTAGAAGCTCGCTACCTAACAGTTAACTAAGATATGTTATATTCTAATAAAATCCTGGGTGGTGGCAGGCTACCGTTGTAAATATAATAAGTGTGGTAATAAGAAAGACATGGTTTCCCAGATTAATCCATGGTTTAGAATATAACGAACAAAATATATGGAAGAGATTATAATATATATGAAAGAAAATGAAAAGGAAGAACATTGACTTGGAAAATATAAGCAGAGAAACATAAGAGTTACTTATATAAGAATATACAAGAATATAAGGTATATATCTAAATAAAGAATTGAAGAAGGATAACTCTATAAAACAGGATACTCATTGAAAAGAAGGCTACAAAGAACATATAAATATAGGAATAAATAAGAATACTCAACAAGATATCAAAAGATGCCAAGAACTCCAGTGGCAGCTTAGATGGAATATTAAAGTGAAAGAATTTGCGCCACTACAAATGATGGCAGATTAGGTGGGATATAAAATGAGAAGAACTCGGCCCGTTCACAATACTGGCAATGAGGATGGGATTCACAAAGTGTTGGTGAAGTCCTTGAAGAAAGGATAGTGACCACTGAAGGGAAGGCTACTCTGAACCTGGAGAATTTGCGTGAATAGAGGAACCATGACTGGCGTCAGTGGATACATCGGACGAGTGGGGGAGTTTGATGCAGACAAGGAGAACTTCACATCATATTGTGAGAGAATGGCTTCTTCCTGGCAAATTAATTAATGGACGACGGTGGTGATGGTCAGAAGAAGAAGGCCCTTGAAGAGGAAAGGAAAGCAATTTTTTTGACAGAGGTAGGAGCTAATGTTTATTCTACTCTGGTCAATCTGCTTTCTCCAGACAAACCCAAAGACTCCTCACCAAGATTACCAAGATTCTGAAGCAACATTTTGATCCTGCTTCACATGAGATTGCTGAAAGTTACAAATTTGGCACAAGAGATAGAGGGAAACATGAATCAGTAAGTGATTATATAGTAGCTTTGAAGAAGTTATCCATTCACTGCATTACCTTTACAAGCTGTTGATAGATAAGAAAGTTGTAGATACATTTCCAAATGTTGAAATAATGCTACGGATGTACTTGGTGCTCATGGTCACAAATTGTTCTGGGGAACGTTCTTTCAGTAAAATGAAGTTTATTAAAAACAGACTTCGTACTACAATGTGTCATGATAGGCTCAGCCACCTGGCTTTGATGAGTATCGAATATGACATCCTCAGAGAGATTGACTTCGAAAAGTTGATCAAAAACTTTGCAGCGGCCAGGTCCGTAAAGTGCCTGGTCTGTAAATAAAGGTAATGTTTATTTTCTATTTTGCAACTGATCAATGTTTGTGTTCAATATACCCATTATCCATGGTCGAGGTTATTTTTATTAAAATTCTTGTTTTTCCAACATGTTCATACCTTTGTTATAATTTTATCAAATTCATTAAATTGTTTATTTGTTTTACTATTGGATGCAAAACTTCAATTTTATTTATAGTTGAGTTAATACTTATTCTGAATCTATTTGACCTGGACTAAAGAAGCCTATACATGCATTCTTGGACAGAACCATTATTTGAGTAGAGGTTATCTGATTAATAATGCAAAGAATCATCTCTCTGTAACAACTAATAATATATTCTTTCTGTGAAGTCTCTTGAAATTTTTGACATGTGCGGTAGTAGCTATATCAGGGCTGGTCGACTTGAAACGCATGAATGACTCAGTCTTGTCTCACTTTTGCTTTTATTTCCATCTCGCGATCGACTTCTTTTCCTTTTACACTGATCGCTTGTTAGCGCGCCGGTCACGTCTCTGTACGCACTGTTGGCAAATACGGCATGCACCGGCTCCTGAATGTCTGAACCCGCTCCAGTGTTGGTCAAGTCTTCTGAAAGAGCTCACACTCGGTGCCGTCAAACACTCTCTGGTAGATTGTTCCAAGAGTTTACAACCCTCACCCGAAAAAGTTTGCCCTCACGGTTTTCTGGACTTGCGGCTTCTTCAATCTTGAGCTGTGACCCCTTGTGGGGCGAGCGTCCGCCAGCTCAAGTAAGGACACTCAACTGAGTAGTGCCCCTGAGATGCTTATTACACCTCAACTAGGTCCCCCTTGCCCGTCTGTAGCATAAGCTAGGCAAGTTCAGGCGCTCCAATCTCAGGAGTGAAGTGCCTCCCCATCTGGAGTACTGTCACCCCATCTGGTCCCCGAGATATGCTAGGGACTGTCAGTTGGTTGAAAATGTTCAAAGGAGGGCCACCAGACTGGTGCCTGCACTCCGGCACCTCAGCTACCCTGAGAGATTGGAGCGCCTGAACTTGCCTAGCTTATGCTACAGACGGGCAAGGGGGACCTAGTTGAGGTTTATAAGCATCTCAGGGGCACTACTCAGTTGAGTGTCCTTACTTGAGCTGGCGGACGCTCGCCCACAAGGGGTCACAGCTCAAGATTGAAGAAGCCGCAAGTCCAGAAACCGTGAGGGCAAACTTTTCGAAGTGAGGGTTGTAAACTCTGGAACAATCTACCAGAGAGTGTTGTGACGGCACCGAGTGCGAGCTCTTTCAAGACAAGACTTGACCAACACTGGAGCGGGTCCAGGTACATTCAGGAGCCGGTGCATGCCCAGTACTTGCCAACAGTGTTACAGAGACGTGACCGACGCCAGGCGGCTAGCGAGCCGACCTTTGGTGAAGAATATAAATGAAAAGAGACGTGACCGATCGCCCAAGCGGCTAACAAGCCGATCAGTGGCGAAGAGGATAAAAGTAAAAGTAAAAGTAGAAGTGCAGGCACCAGTTTGCGCCCTCCTTTGAACATTTTCAACCAACTGACAGTCCCTAGCATGTGTGTGTGTGTTGGGAATTTGTACACTATCAATAAATATACAGTTAATTAAAAAAAATTCAATGTTCTAATTTCCTCAATATAACTGCATATGGCTTCAAAATTCTCTAAAGAAGTGTTCAAATTCAAAATTTCCCGGGGGGCTTACAGCGCCCCCGACTCCCATATGTTTAGGCTCGCTTCACTCGCCACCCCACCCTCGAGGGTAGTTATAATGAGGGGGGCCTCCACAAAGAGGCTGCCCATGGACCTCCACAGGTCTAAATCCGGCACTGGACCGCACGCTATAGTAGCACCAATAATAATGTTTTAAAACCGGGCTACTTTTCGTGGACAAATCACGCAAGTTGGTGTCTCTCACTGATGTGGTAACACTGCCCTGTGACTTCAGAAAGGTAAGCAGTGTGGTACAGCTCTCCACCAACAACCTATTATCATTGAAAGGTAAATAAAACTCACAATAATAAATAAAGAGAAATACAAAGAAACTACAAATATAATAAAGACTAAAGAAGAAAATAAGGCACAAGAACCATCACATACGTCACAACAACAACGAGTGTTGACTTTGTTCTTAGTGAGAGTGAGCTCTTGGACCAACCTGTCAAGAGTGTGACCTGTTTCATGGCCACACTTGACAACCACTGGAGCCGCTGACCTCCTTTAACAACACAGGTAATTAACCGTAATACTTTAGACCTTAACTAGATACTGTATTATACAACATTTCACCACAACATAACACTTTCTTACCTCCTGAAATAATGAATAAAGGTCAGTTTAGAGTAGAGGACATTTGATATTGGGTTTTTGTTTGTTTTAAAGGTGTAGTTAAGGGCTAACACCAGAAGGAGTTTGTAGAAATAGTTAACAAATTTTCTACACTAATAGTATGCTAACAAAGAGAAATGGAAACGACGATAGAACCTGACCTAACATACCCATAGGTTAGGTATGTTAGGTCAGGTTTTAATAGGTTCTACTTATTAGTGGAAGTGTTCACCATTAAACGTCTCTTGAACAGTGAGGTGAACAACAAAAGTGGCGCCGGGAGGAGAATTGTGAAGTGGGATAGAGTAAATAAATAAGTAAAAAAAATATACTTAAAATTATACTAGAAAATTGTCGTTTCTTTTGATATATTTAATATCACCAAAACAATATGTAGAGAAAAAATAAAGAAAATCAACAATCTCCTTCTGGTGTTAGCCTGAAACTACACCTTTACTGTTTTAATAATACGTTCAGACAAAAACGAGACGATTTTCATCCATGACACTTTTGGTGAACTTTTTCCATAGTTGAGACATCAGGAGTAATTTACAGAAGACCCGACATCAATACTGTATAAGAAACTTTCTGGATTGATTATTGGGTAATTTGGATAATAAACATCTGCTTATAATTGAAATTGGGTTTAAAAATAACCAGTTTTCACTGATTGTATTAAGGGATGCTGTATTATGTTGGGAAAAAATAAATAAAAATGGCTGAAATCATGTGCTAACCTAACCAGTAAGTTATCACTTGTTGCCACTATACGAAATCGAAGTTGAAACTATGTTTTTCTGATGGTTTATGATGTGTTATGGACGAATTTGACCTTCATTTCTGGCTCAAATCAATAGTTTCTGAGATAAGCCTCCCCCTCCCATCTCAGAATCTAAAGATTTTCTATAAAAATCAAGGTAAAAAGTGTTCTAAACACATTGAAACCAACGGAAAAACAAAACCCTAACATAACCTAACCTAATTGGGGAGCTCCATAGCCGTTCGATGTTCTGGGTGTACCGCCACATACGAACATACATAAAAAAATGTAAAATATCTCACTTAAACGTAATTTCTGCATGCCATTGAAGAAAAGTGTCATAAGAATTGTCAAAACTACTGATTGCAACTACAGGATAAAATTCGCAAGATGTTGTAGTGGCAATAAGTCAAATAATACCATCTAACCTATATTTTAACTTACCTGTATCTAGAAAATTAAGCATTTGCAGGATAAAATGAAGAGAACAAAGTAATCAGCATATAAAACTTTAAAAACAGCCACCATATTTCTGAATTGCAGATGGTCACCAGTTGTATATTAGCCAATTGTTGGAGCTTACCTCTATCATAAGTTCAGAGAGGAGACTTTGCTACAATACAGAGGCTAAATACTAAAAAGAACACCAAACAAACCTTTGAAAACCTGACCTAACTTATAAAAATTTTGAGAACTACACAGTCGGCCCTTAACATACGCGAAGTTTAGCATACACGATTTGCAAATACGCGGATTGCCCTGCCGGAGGAATATTCTGTGCATTGAAGTAATTGAAGTACATTCAACTTCGCTACATAACAATCCAACACGGACACCGCCCTCCAGAACCTCTCACACACACACACATAGCTCTCCCTCACTCAGTCAGTCTCGCTGTAACCACGCTTGTGTTGACATCAGCATTGTAGGTAAAATTATTACATTTCCGTGAATGTATTATATCAAGCACAGTATGAATAGAATTTCACTAATATAACAGTGTTTTAACCGAAAGCTATTAAAAAACGAGTAACATATCTTGAACATCGGAAGGTTAGGTAAAGTCTTTTGTTTTCATGTAGTTTATCCTAATTTACATTGAAATACATTACGCTTTCAGCAGAGCTACTATTTATTTCTGTGAATATGAAAATGTAATCTTTCTGCTGAAATGACTGATGTATTACAGTGGAAAGTGACTTAAAGCAATGACTTTCTTTCGTTCAAAAGATGTTACTGTAATTGCTTTTCGAATGGTTTTCAGTTAAAAACTGTCCTATTACAATAATATTCTATCCTAATTCACTTGTGATGCAACAGTTTTTAACTGAAACCATTCAAAAAGCAATTACAGTAACATCTTTTGAACCTAAAGAGCGAAAGTCATTGCTTTCGTCACGATTTTATCCCACTTTCCACTGTAATACGTGACGTCATTTCAGCAAAATATTACATTTCCGTGAATGTAGTATATCAAGCACAGTATGAATAGAATACAGGTTGTACCTCTCTAGTCCGGCAACCTCGACCTGACCGTGCAGACCATGGACTTTTCCGACCATGGAAATTCTCCTTCTCCTGGATAGATAATGACTTCATGGTCTCTTTGAAGACATATTGAAGGGTTAAATGTTGTACAGTAGCTTCTCAAATTTCGCTAGTTTTCAATTCAACGTTTTATTGAACACACACAAAAATTAAAAATTTGGCAGCTGAAACTCGAATTTCACCGGTTTGAACGTCACCAACGTCACACGGCACCGTAAACAGCGCCATTTCTCTGCGTACAAAGGATTCATTATTGTTTATTACTGAATGTCTTTTTGATTGAATTAATGTTTATGCAAAAGAGCAATACAATTAATAATAATGTGAGAATATTTAACACTGAGGAGACGAGGACGCATTGTTTTCATGGATTACAAAACCAGTGACTGACTGGTTCTACATATAAAACTGAAGAAAATAAGACCTTGGTTGTAGCTGTAGTAAAATTAATATGTTGTTTTTAGTAATGTTATTGAATGTTTTTAAAGGGATTAGCCCACCTGGGCACAGGTCACTGACCCACATCGGCCTTGGGGGCGAAAATTTAATAATAATAGTAATTCATAGTAAATAAAATTTATAATTAAAATTAAAATAAATAGAACAATAGAAGTAGCTAACCATTAATGGTAAAGAAAAAAGAGAGATCACGGGTATGTAAGTGAGCACACGTAAAACATATCACATTACTCTACATAAGAATATGAAAGCAACACTTAATTACCGCTCATATATATTTTAATTAATGTTTCTGATTTTTTATTGAATTAATGTTTGTGCAAAATGAACAATACAATTCATTAATAATATGTGGAATATTAAAACACACGTAAACTAGACGGCACGCATTGTTTTCAAGTATCGCTACAAACCGTGACTGATTGGTTCTACATATAAAACTGAAGAAAATAAGACCCTGATTGTAGCTGTAGTAAAATTAATGTAAAAAATTAATATGGTTGTTTGAAGTAATGTTATTTAATGTTAATAAATGGAACAATATAAGTAGCTAACCATTATGGTAAAGAAAAGTGAGACTGGCGATGTATGTGCAAGGCCATGTGAAAGCATATCGCCATTACTCTACATAAGAATATGAAAGCAACACTTATTTACTGCTCATATATTGAAGGGTTAAATGTTGTACTCAGACAAGCAGAGAGAAGAGAACAGCCGAACTGCCAGATGTAAACAAACCAATTCCCCAGCGGCTTTGTTGTTGTTTTTACGGGATTAGCCCACCCGGCATAGGTCACTGACCCACATTGGGGTCTGAGGGGCGAAAATTTAATACTCCTGTACTGTAATAATAATAATTCAGATAAGTTATAAAAAAATAAAAAATAAAATAAAATAAATAGCTGCCTATCTACCTATTGGACAAACTAAAATCATTCTGGACCACAGAATGCCGGACTAGAGAGGTACAACCTGTATCATTGTAATATAACAGTATTCTAACTGAAAACTATTAAAAACGAGTAACATCTCTTGAACATCGAAGGTTAGGTAAAGTCTTTTGTTTTTGTCATGTATTTTATCCTATTTTACATTGAAATACATCACGTTCAGCAAAACTACTCTTTATTTCGAGAATATATATTTTTTTAACTGAAACGATTCGAAAAAACACGCACTCTCTAGCCCTGTTCAAGGAGAAGACTGGGAGGAGCTGTTTGGTGCTGAAGACGATGACAAGGAAAATGATTTTGATGGATTTTTATGAAAATATTCAGAAATATGGTATCGTAGTATTTATCCAAGTGACTTTGGATAGAATATTATTGTAATACAACAGTAGGACGATGTGGAGGAGGCGGAGGGATAGAGCGGGAGGAGTGGTGACTGGCGGAGCAGGGACGAAGTGGAGATGCCAGCCAGTACATTACGGGTGTACAGTATTAATTGTTTTTATAGCTCTTTGCATTTAATATTAAATACTGTACATTACGCTTCAACAAAACTACTATTTATTACTTGAGAATATGGAAATATTTTTTGCTGAAATGACGACGATTACAGTGAAAGTGATAAATTTTAACGAAAGCAATGACTTTGCTTTCTTCGCTCAAAAGATACCTAATCGCTTCAATGGTTTTCAGTTGTGGATTATAAGGCTAATGATAGGATAGAATATTATTGTAATACAGACAGTACAACAGTTTTTAACTGAAAACCATTCAAAGTTTATTACGTAGTAATCTTTTGAATAACGTAAAAAAGTTAAGTCATTGTTTTCACGCGATTTTATCTCACTTTCCACTGTAATATGTATGTCATTTCAGCCAAAATATTACATTTCCATATCTATTTCTGGAATATATTCATTCAGTCACAGTTAAGGTAAAATATACTTGTGATGTAATATTTTAATGAAAATACGTATCGTAGTTTTTGTTTCAAATTTAATTAACAAAGATTGATGTTTCAACTGTAATGAACAAAAAATTGTACAGTATCTATAAATAAACTTTAATGAATGAATACTTTGTTTTACATCGCCCTGTGCTACCATACCATGGATTGGCTGCTTTGGCTTGCTATGATGACTAAGAGATCTGCCCTGCGACTGCAAATTCCACACTCACAGCTGGTG